ACGGGCAGTCACGAAGACACCGCAATTCACATCCCGTTCATTGAGCTAGAGAACGACCAATTGACACGTGGGGAGCATAAACGTCTCGGAGGCATCTACCTTGGAGAGTTAGTCTGGGCTCTCATCAATATACTCATTGTGAAGATTCTTATGACCAAGCCCACCAAGCTTGTACTCAACTCCACACTAGCTGCTGCCTTTGCTGTTCGTGATGTTGCACACTACACAGTTGCACGCACTCTGGAGCTCGCCATGAATGTACCGCGCTCCCTCCAAGATGGGCGGACTAACAATGTCTCCGCGTGTTTTCTTCGAGTCCGGCTTATGTCAGGTCGCTATCTTGTCAAACACGGTGGCAAGGGCGCCATTTCTACACACTGCGTCGTTCAGCTGCGCTCTGAGGATGACCGAGAGTCCAATCTTATAGACCAGGATACGTCAAAGATATCCCTATGGTCAAAAAGTCCACGCTGGAAAGAAACTTTTTTCCTTGGGCCCGTTTCAATACTGAAGGACACACAGCTTAAAGTCCTCTGCGTTCACCAGGAGCGCGTTCCAGGAAAATCCGGCTATTGGGATACTCTCTCGAGTTCTGCAGTTGGTGAGCTGAACGTGCCTCTCCTGGCCATTGGCACAACCAAAGTCTCATTGGATACCTCAAAAATGTTTTTGAATCACCGCCAGAAGGCCACACCCACACGGGAACTCGTAGGATGGTTCCAGTTGGGTCTACCCACAGCAGCTGCAAACGATCTCTTTCCTCTAGAGGGTGCTGTTTCTGATGGGCAGTCTCGCCAAGCTCGCTGCGTCGAGAATTCTTACTCTCATTCCAGTCAAGCAATTCACTTTGCACCGCACTGCAGGCAGGTGAACGTGCTCACTGGGCAGATCAAACTTGGCCTTCGCATCATCAGCCCCGAGCGCCTCAGGGTGTAATGTCACGCCCAGCTGCGCGGTCTCGCGCGTTCGATAGCCGGCGCCCGGCCGGGCCGGTAACTAAAGAGCCTGGATTTGTAAAAATCGACGTAAGTCTATGG